AAAAAAAAAGTATTGAGAGAGGGAGGGAGAATCCAAGCAGGACTCGAGGCTCAATTTCATGACGGGGAGACCCTGACTGGAGCCAAGGTCAAGAGACGCTTAACAGACTGGCCACCCAGGTGCACCCTCATCAGGTTTTTATTTGCGGAAGAGCTAGACTTGCACAAAGTAGTTCCTGAGTAAATAAAGCAAAATAATCCCAAACCGAAGTGGCATTTCTGTCCTTGGTAAGGAGAGAGTGAGAATAAAGCAAAGTTAAAACCCATTTTTGATGGAAGTGTTCTGAGACACTCCTGGTTTTACAGCAACTGTAGGCTTCCACAGTGATGGACAAGGCTACTTTCAGTTTTGAGTGTTTCAGCTTTTTCCTCCAACTTTCAGACACTTGGTAATTTATACATTTGGGACGAACTTACATAGCAGCCAAAGGGAAAACGGCCATTGAGGCTTTCACTGCAGAACAGACAAGGTAGTTCAGCTTCCTCCAGAAAGGTTCCAGTGGTAGCAAACCCTAAAAGCCAAGTCTCCACTATTGGCCTCATTTCCTCTAAGCGGCACTTAGGGAAGTGCACACACCTGCTCAGCTGAAGCAGGTCCGGGAACTTGGTCAACACCACATAACAGATGAAGAACAGGGCCACAGCTGAATGGAGTAGCAATCCTAGGTCACACGGGCCCCGAGATAGATTATCACCTGGTCTGACGCCAGCCAGGAGAGTCGGTAAATTCTACAGCCGGGCCTGCACCACCAGTCATTAAACATGGTTCCCTTGCCCAGATCTCCAAGGGCAAGGACATTACAGAATGTAAAGCCTGTACCATGTGTCTAGGAGTCTGGAAAGCAGCCTTCAGATGTTCATGCCTTTCTGTGCCTCCCGGGAACACCCTGGTGTAAAAACTGGGGATTGAGTTATCTATAGCCCTTATCTCAGCCAATGCCTCCACCCCCAGCCTGCACCCCCTAAAATGGAGGACAGCTTTTCTGAAGTTTCCTCTGCAAGCACTGTATTCAGGAGACACAGTGAAGGCAGTGCTTAGATTCTTTGAGCAAGGGAAACATTTGCTTTCCTAGCAAATGTTTTTAACCGTTCCTGTTAAAAACAGCTTTGCCTTAAGATCCCAGGCACTACCTGGTCCTAGTCCGCATCTAGGTGAAAAACTTTCAACTGGTAGTTCTTGAAGGATTGGGTCAAAAGATCCAAGACCTGGTTTTCCTCCTCTGTAAAATGCAATTGAACTAGATGAGCCATCGAAGGTTCATTCCTGCTTTAAAAATGCAGCAATGCCCTAACTTCCAGATTCAAAGAACCACCCCCCTGCAAACAGGAGCAAAGCGCTTGCCGTATATTCCACAGCAAGCCTTCAGAATAAGGTGCATAGTCACACTGCTTTATACGCAGCCCTGGGCCTCCTTATGAGAGGCAAACATGAAGTACCCTGACCTGTGTGGGGGTGGGGAGGTACCTCATTGTTTGCCCCGTTTAAGTTCCTCCCTTGAGAAAAATACGATAGCTTCACAACTGGCTACTTTTATTCTGCTTATTTTGAGGTGGCTCATTTGCATTGTTCAGATTTGAAGATCTAGTAACTACTCCGTAGGTTAGCAAGTACTCACACACCCTCCCACACCGTTCTCAATCACTATGGAGTTTCAACCACTCCTGTGTACAATTCTGAAGGAGAAGTCTTCATTTTCAGGTCATAGTTCACATGGAACAACAGCATCCTTCCTACGGAGCATCAACCAAGGCAAACACCGCAAATACTGGCCGTGGCTCCTCCAAGGACAGAATCTCATTCAACTGCGGGCCACAGGCTGGCACACTATAAGAAGTATGAAAAGCTACAGTTGGGACCATCACATTCTCTCAGTGAGCGAAACCCAAGAGCCGGGAGTTGCACGCACATTTTACTTTAGGGGACCAGGAAAGTGTACAGATTCACACAGAGACCACAGACGTGGGGGGAAAAGTGAGGCATGTTCAGGAGCAAATCAGCCCCCTCCTCCAACTAAAAGCCATATAGGGAATGAAAGTCGCTCCACTCACCCAGAGTAGCGGTTGCTATAAAGGTGGCTGTGCCCTGGTTGCAGAATCTTCAAAAAGAGCAGGGAGAGAGGCAGAAAAGCAGCTGTCCGGCTCCTAGGCTTCCGGAGGAACGTCATGGTGTTACAAGGAGAGGAGCTGAAAGTTACTTACAGCAGTCACCCGAGGCTGGAGGGAGCTCACAGTGCCGCGCCCCCCCCCAAGGGCAAATGCTCTCTGGGAAGGGGTGGGGGGAGAGAGCTAGGAGTAAAATGTGACACTTCTTTCCAGCCACAGGGGGGAAAAAATCTAAGCAGCCGAGGAAGGGAAGTTGCTATTAAGACTTGGTCTTGGGACGAGAAACAGCAGCACGCACTGCCCAGCCTAGCAGCTGAGCCTGATCCTCAGTCAGGCTCCCCTAGAAGGGGCTGGGCCTCCCCTGTGCTGACTCATGGCTGGGGTTCCCTGGGTGCTGCATCCTTTGAGTAACTCCTCTCTGGTTTTTTATTTGTCTCTTGCTTGACAGCTTTAGGCCCCTGGCTTTTCTTGGACCTTTCCCTTTCTATTCCCTTCCACAGAGCAGGACCCTCCTCTGAATGCAAATGATTTGCCCGAGGATGAGCTAAACACGTAAAGCATAAGTAGAACATTCCAGGCTTAAGGTTTTGATCTACCATAACAAATTTCTACGTGGATTCCACATACTGAAGTGCCTGGTGAATAGCCCTAATGAGTTTGTGCCCAAGGGTAAGTCCAGCTCCTGAACCTGAACAGACAGCCTGGTCCCGGCTCCTACCTGTATGAAGGGGCAGCCGCTTCGCTGGGCTTCAGGAAGCTCTTCCTAACCCAGTCCCCGTCAGCAGCACCCAGACCCGTTGCGATTTCAGAGGTTCTTATAGGGAACAGGAGGCTTCCACGTGCTTTACTACCTTCTCTCACATTTGGAATCATTTAGGAAGCCAGACCATTTAAATCAGAACTCCTGGGGGGTGGGATCAGTAATTTAAAAGCCTCCTCAGGTGATTGCAGTGTTCAACCACCACGCTGGTCTAGAGCGGAGCCTCTCAAACTTTAACAGGCATAGACATCAAATCACCTGTGGATTGTTAAACTGCAGCCTCTGATGCAGTAGTTTGGGCCTGGGGCCTGAGATTCTGCATTTCTAACAAGCTTTCAGGTGATGCTCATGCTGCTGATGTTTCCACCACATTTTGAGCAGAGCTGTGCTTGAGAATGAGGTCTGCTTTTTCTCCTCTCTCTCAAAACTAGGGGGAAATAAAAAACTTTGATGATGAAAAAGGCATTTCTTTTTTTTTATGCACTTGCTCCTACGCAGATATACCAGAAAACCCGTCTGGGGGCATGTACTTTGCTCTAGTAAATAAGAACGGTGTTATCTAGAGTGACTCCTGTTATTCCCCATGCCAAGGCCCTGTACTATTCCGGAAGAGAGTGGGAATCAGCGTCTCTCTATACACTCACTCAAACACTTTCCAAATTTCCTGAAGAGTCATAGCCAAGGATTCTGTACCCTCTAATATTATAGCCAGAACACTGTTTAGAAGAGAAAGTACCCAATCTTTCCCCATGGTCTCTACATGGGGAGTAGAACCAAACTCATAGTTTGGTTTATAACACAGCTGAAATGATTTTCAGTTAAAATGATTCTCTAAGGCTTCCTTAACTACCCCAGGATTAGTTTAATCTCTTCTCCGTGACCCCCTAATACCTGTATGTTTTCTACTGTAGGGTATAGTACATTGAATTGAAGTATTTGCCTCGTTCTCTCTCGAGGCTGCCTTCTCCTTGAGTGTAGAACGGTACCCCTTTCATCTTTGTACGCACTTCCTTATATCTCCTAGAGAGAACACAGTGGTTGCTGAAGCAATAATCAGCAATGTTTGTTGAGTGAATGATGAACCTGAGAAGGGATTCATTCAACATTTACTCTGTGACTTCTGTATCCACACAGAGGAAAGGATGGAGGCTCTTGAGGAGTGGATGGTCCCAGGTCTCCTGGTTTTGTTTCTTGTTTGTTTACGTTGTTGTTTCCTTCCCTCATGACTTTCTGGCCCAATGCTCTGGTCTTTGTAAAGTGGTCAGGCTGTTCTGCAAGGTTCATGGCGATGCTTCCTGGGGCCATTTTGACAAGGTCAAGAAAGCCTGTGTAACTATGAATGAACTGTGGAAATAAGAGGTTATTTTGTAAATAAAACACTTCATTCCTTTGCATTTCATTATGTCAGAACAATGTATAAATCTGTCATATTATATCACAACATTAAACTAGGAATGTTCGGTCTCTGACTGGGGATTAAGCTCATCCTCAAATCATTCTGAAGGATTCAATCCAGTGAGCACGTTCAGCAAAGACTGCAGACTCTGAGACCAGGGTAATCATTTCCTGGACCATCAAAAACGCAAGAGACCCTGGAGACATCCTGTAGCCTTCCTAAAAATTTCAGATCAAAGAGAGATTCTTAAACAATAGAAGTCATTCCTAGCAATCTTCCTCTGGTTTTCTAAGGACCAGGTTATCTGATCAAACTTCTCCTGGATTAGATAAGCTCCCATAAAATGAGTGATAAATGGAGTCCATTTAGCAAGTGGGAGGGGAAGAGAATGGCTTTACAGATAGATTCAAAGATAAAAGTCCCCCTTTTTAGGCACTGAGAGGGAGTGAATTATTAAACCAGTTAGAGATTTGGACATGGAAAGATGAGAATTTCTATTTATTGACTATGCCTTTGTCATATTTTAGTGGAAGAATGAAATGTTTTAAAAAGAAATACTACCCTACAGAGAAGCAAAAGGAAACTGCAGTTGGGAAAAGAAAATGCCATTCTTGATTTGGGTGCATTGTTGTCCATGATTAGATAAGTTTTTTTTATTGAAGTGTAGTTAGCACACAATATTATTTTAGTTTCATGTGTATAACATAGTGATTCAACATCTATATATATTATGAAATAGTGACCACAATTAGTCCAGTTACCATCTGTCACCACAGAAACCTAATACGACATTGACTATATCCCCTATGCTGTACATTATTATTGCCATGGCTTATTTATTTTATAACTAGAAGTTTATACCTCTTGGTCCCCTTCACCTATTCACCCCCCCTCCCTCCACCTCCAAATCTTCCTCTCCTCTGGAAACCATCATTCTGTTTTGTTTATCTGAGTTGGTTTTGTTTTGTTGTTTAAATTCCACACATAAGTGAAATCATACAGTATTTGTCTTTCTTGGTCTGACTTATTTCACTAAGCATAATACCCTTTAGGTTCATCCACGTTGTTATAAATGGCAAGATTTCATTCTTTTTGTATGGTTGAGTTATTACTGTTGTATATATATGTATGTATATACCACATCTTCTTTATCCATTCATCTATTGACAGACACTTTGGTTTTTTCTGTGTCTTGACTGTTGTAATTAATGTTGCATTGAACATGGGAGTGCATGTATCTTTTCAAGTTAGTGTTTTCATTTTCTTTTTTTTTTCTTTATTAAGTTTTTAATTTAAATTCTACTTAGTTAACATACAGTGTTATATTAATGTTATATTAGGAGTATAATACAGTGATTCAATAATTCTATACATAGTGCTCATCATGATAAGTGTACTCTTTAATCCCCATCACCTGTTTCAAACATCCTCCTACCCACCTCTGCTCTTGTAACCATCAGTTTGTTCTCTACAGTTAAGAGTCTATTTCTCGGTGTGTCTTTCTCTCCCCCCCCCCCACTTGTTTGTTTTGTTTCTAAAATTCCACATACAAGTGAAATCATATGGTATTTGTCTTTCTCTGACTGACTTATTTCACTTGGCACCATATTCTCTGGCTCCATCCATGTTGTTGCAAATGTTAAGATTTAATTCCTTTTTATGACTGAATAATATTCCATTTTGTATATATACCACATCTTCTTTATCCATTCATGTATCAGTGGACACTTGGGCTTCTTCCATGGTTTGGTTATTAAAAATAATGCTGCAATAAACATAGGGGTGCATGTATCCCTTTGAATTAGTGGTTTTGTATTTTTTAGGTATATACCCATTTGTGCAATTACTAGATCATAGAGTAATTCTATTTTTAGCTTTTTGAAGAACCCCCATACTGTTTTCCATAGTGACTGCGCCTATTGACATTCCCACCAACAGTATGAGGGTCCCTTCTCTCCACAATCTGGCCAACACTTGTTATTTCTTGCCATTCTGACAGGTATAAGGTAATATCTTATTGTGGCTTTAATTTGCATTTTCCTGATGGTTAATGATATTGAGCATCTTTTCATGTGCCTGTTCATGTGCCTGTTGGCCATCTGTGTCTTCTTTGGAGAAATGTCTATTCACATCTCCTGCCCATTGCTGATTACATAACTTTAATGCCCTTTCCCAATCTGAATTCTATGATGTTGTAGGGAAAGATTTTGTAAAACATTTTCTTAAGTATATGAATGAAAACCCTGAAAATTTATTTTGGTAAAGATAAATGGAGGAGAAGTTAAATGGGTATGGTTGGGCAACCCTCCAATTACCTCAGTTGGTTTTGTGCTCATTCCTCAATGTCTTATTAACACAGACCTGTTGCTTGTCAGGCATCTTTTATGGCCTTTTGCTATTGTTCCAACACGTGAGGAACTGGCACATGTGATGTTAAGTTACTGCCTTATGCAGTCTTGGCAATTCTGTGAAGAATGTTGTGAAGCTTCCTTTAACAATGCATCACTAATGACTCCCACCCATCTCTCTTATTCAGCACCATCAGCCATCCCTTCTTGCCTCTACATCTTTAATCTTTCTCTTGTCAACTATCCATATTTCTCCTATCTTTAAATGCAACCTACCTTTCTTCTATTTCCACACTCCTGAATTCTGACAATATGCTTTCCATCCCTACTTATGATGCTTATTATTATTATGCTTATTAGTATGCTTTCCATCCTGAACACTTATGAAACTTTCTCTTAAAGATCCATGGTTATTTCTAAGTGGGAAACCCTTTGTTGTCATTCTGCATTTGTATGGTTTCTAAGGCTATTTATCACCACCACCACCACCACCCCCCTGCCCTGTTTGAAACTCTTCTTTCTTGTGATTGGGGACATTGTCTCCTCTATTCCTCTCTT